AACCCTAAACCCTAAACCCTAAACCCTAAACCCTAAACCCTAAACCCTAAACCCTAAACCAAGCTAAGAGCTGAAGTGGATTTACCAGAAAACCCGCGGACCTAACCCCAAGCCCGCACGGGCCAAGATGCCCCATCATAGGTTCCCCTACGACCCCCTCTATACTATTTACCGTTTAGTGTTTAGGGTTTAGGGTTTAGGGTTTAGGGTTTAGGGTTTAGCGCTACCCCCCCCCCTAGGTTCCCCCCCATAATTTAGGCTTGTTTACGGGTAACTAAGCCTAATTAAGGCTATTTAAGGGGGGAACCTAGAGGGGGGTTAGTGTAGAGGGTAATTTGGGTAATTTTGGCTTTTTAGGCCTCATTAAGGCTATTTCCGGGGGGAACCTAGGGGGGTAGTAGGGGAACCCATGGTGTCAACACCCTGAGCGAGTACTTCGGGCCTGTAGCTCTTCGGGGTTGAGGGCTTTAAACTCTAAACTTTAGGGTTTAGGGTTTAGGGTTTAGGGTTTAGGGTTTTTTGTAAACCCTAAACCCTCAATTATTTTCCTCTTACGTGGACGCTGGATCTCGTTTCCCAGCCGGGCTTCTGAGGGTCGTAGTTCGCCATATCTTGCCGAGGCTTACAAGGGCCAAGCCAGTTGGCTCCGGGTCAGAGACGGAGACATTTCAGGGTTTGGGGTATAGGGTTTAGGGCAAGTTTAGGGTTTAGGGTATAGGGTTTAGGGTTCAGGGTTTAGGATCTAGGGTTTGGGGGTTTAGGGGTGTAGGGGTTTAGGGGCTTAGGGGTTTAGGGGTTTAGGGGTTTAGGGGTTTAGCGGTTTAGGGGTTTAGGGGTTTAGGGGTTTAGGGTTTAGGGCTAGGGTTGGGAGGGTTTAGGACAAGGGGTTTAGGGACCCTTTTTGTTCCTAGGTTACTCTTGGGTCTAGTCTAAGTCCATGGATCCTCAGGGATACTGATCGTGCAAACTCTGATCTCTGCCAATACTTCTCGGGCTCCAGATCCTCAGTCGCAGCTTTGGTTAGCTCCAGGTCCATACCTTACTTCGGATGTATTGCGCTGTCAGGGTTCAAGGATTAGGTATCAGAGCTTTTGTTTTCAGGCTGGCCAGCTGCAGGAATTTGAGGACATTCGGTAAACCCTAAACCCACTAAACCCTGAACCCTAAACCTTCTTCACGGAGCAAGAGCTGCGATCAGGAGCTATCAGGTGGCGATGCATGTTGCATGCTGTGCCGAAGTTGAAGCCAGGCCAGTCTTCTACGAATCGTTGGTTTTATTTCGGGTTTAGGGCTTAGGGTTTAGGGTTTAGGGTTTAGGGTTCCTGGTTGGTGAAGTCTGAAGCCCCGATTGTAGATAAGGGATGCAGACCTAGTCTCGTTCAGGACGGCTGCGTGAAATGATGTCCTCCCAAACGCCGGAAGCCTGCGTAGAGTAACCCTGGACCTTCAAGGTTTTGATTGCCTAGAGACTTGCCCTGGGGCAATTAGGGTCATATGCCCTGTGCTACTGTGATTCCTATTGAGGTAGTATGAACCATACACCCTTTTACGGTTCACATGGTGCCCCAAGTAAACACTACTTGATTTGCGGGAGAGTGGTTTAGAAAGTGCGGTACCAAAGAAGTGATAGGTATCAACCTGAAACCCTATGCCCTAAGCCCCATACGCCCACACCCTAAACCCTCAACTCTCTGCCAAATTGAGCATTGTTTCTACACCCTAAACTGCAAACCCTAAACCCTACACACTAAACCCTATACCCTAAACCCTAAACCCTAAACCCTAAACCCTAAACCCTAAACCCTAAACCCCAAACCCTAAACCTTATAAACCCTAAACCCTTTAAACCCTAAACCCGCAACCCTTTGCCGCAATGGGCTGCCTCGGCGCAGAATTCGTTGGCACACACGCCCGCAAAGGTGCCCACTCAACCCGGCCTTCACAAGGGCACTCATTCCCCATTCGAAGGCCCAATGCCCGAAATGCTGGGGTTTAGGGTTTAAGGTTTATAAGGGTTAAGGGTTAAGGGTTTAGGGTTTAGGGTTTAAGGTTTATAAGGGTTAAGAGTTAAGGGTTTAGTGTTTAGGGTTTAGGGTTAGCCCCTGCAAACTGCACCCAGCTCAGCGGGTCGCAAAGGAAGGCGGACCCCGAAGTCACACATGAAGCAGCATTCAGCAACCCCTCTTATTAGCCACGAAGTCTTGGCCCGCTTCAACCTTATAGCGCCTCTGAGCCCTATGAGCTACCCCGCTTAGCCGCTGAGTCATAGCCCTCTTCGCTCTTACAACGCCTCTTGGCCCTGTATGAGAATCCCCTAAACCCTAAACCCTAAACCCTGTTCTCAGAACCCTACACTCTTTTGTCCATCTAGGATCTATAGGGGTTAGGGAGCCTAGGAAGCTCCTTCCAACCCTACGAGCACTGTCCACGCCAAAAAAGCCGAACCAGCTTCTGACAGAAACCCTGAGCCTGAAGTGCCACAAGGCCTACGTAATCCCCCGAAACCAGAAGCCTAAGCCCTTCCAGCCTTATGCTCGCAGAATCGCTGTTTTAGTCATAGACTACCTTCGGCCACCTACACCCTAAACCCTGTAAACCCTCCAAACCCTCTAAACCCCAAAAACCCTATAAGCCCTATCAGCCCTATAACCCCAAAACCCTAAACCCAAACCAAGAAGCTTGTTTCATGGAAATTGCTGTAAGGGCCCCTCTAGGCCCACCAGCCGCTTCTTCCCGAAACGCACGGTTTAGGGTTTAGGGTTTATAAGATTTAGGGTTTACGGTTTAGGGTTTAGGGTTTAGGGTGCGGGCCCAAAACATCTCGTCAGCGTGGAGCACGCGCGCGCTCACAGCCCAGCAGCGGCAGGTCCAGGGAAAAGCGCCGGGTTCACAGGTTTGGGGTTGGGCTCGGGTTCCAGCAGGAAACAGAGGTTCCGAGGGTTCAGAGCCCTAAGCCCTAAAAACCCTATAGACCCTATGGACCTAAATCCACCCTAAACCCTACACCCTAAACTCCCTAAACCCTAAACCCTAAACCAGGGTTCAACAGGGTCATGGGGGGCCCTGCGGTCGGTTGGATCGATCATCCGCCTGCTTTGGGCTGTAGAAGTTGGACCTGCAGGCTCCATCTACTAGGGTTTAGGGTTTAGGGTTTAGGGTTTAGGGTTTAGGGTTTAGGGACTACAAGGAACTAAGTAGAGTTAGAAGAGCCCTAATTGGGTGAGGTTCTAAATCCCTTAAATGTAGTTAGTATAGTAAAGGGGCCTCTCGTTGTAGGACCGGGAGTTAGGCCCTTTTTCCCTTTTTTTAGGGTTGGGGTTCCCTTATAATCCCCTTCACCCTAAACCCTAAACCCTAAACCCCCTTGGTGAGCGATTTTGGAGCATTAACCTGTCCAACAGGAGCTTCAAGGGTTCGGGGTTTCGGGGGGGGTTAGGGTTTGGGGCTTCCAAGGGGTTGGTGGGGTCCGGGTTCTTCTGTAGGGTTGGTGACGGGGCAACCTAGCATGTTGGGTTCCTTGTTTTGCGAGTTTGTGCAGGGAAACGTGGAAACTACGGACCCCCTCAACCCTAATCCCTAAACCCTACACCGTAAACCCTGAACCTTAAACCCCAAATCCTCAACCCCTATAAGGTTTTCGACGTAGTTTGTAACAAAGCGGAGATACACAGCAAAGCCCCTAGACCCTAAACCCTGAACCCGAATCTGGGAGTTTACGAAAACAGGAGACCCCTACCAAAAATAGTAGGATTCCCTTCAAAAAGAAGAAGGACCCCAAATGAGGTACACCTAATTCGGAAAACCCCATCTGTTGCGCTTTCGACCGGCTCCCCAAACTGTTGGTGCGGGGTTTTGCAACAAGGGTTCAGGGTTTAGGTTCTAGGGGGTGCTAGGTGTTTGAATATCGCTACTTTGTGGTTCTTTACTGCAACTTTAGATCCTTACCCTTTTTGGGTTTATTGGGTTTCTTCATAAGGCAGCTAGAAGTTCTATTTTTAGCTCCCCTCCTGAGTGCAGCCAAGGCTAATCTGCAGTTCTTGTAAGGATTTCTTCAGTCTGTTCTCCCTGTTACAGTTTCATTCTAAACCCTAAACCCTAAACCCTAAACCCTAAACCCTAAATCCTAAACCCTATGCGTGCAGGAGTCTAGATTTCGTAGGACCATGAAAAACAAGCGCCGCACTGATGTCGCTGATGGCGTCCGCCTGCTTGTGGAGGCAACGCTCCAAGGCAAAAGCTACGGGAAGACAGAGCATCTTCGAGTACACTTCACACTTTTTTGGACACTAGAAACCCCCCCTATAGAACTGAAAGTTGTACACTACCCTAAACCCTAAACCCTAAACCCTAAACCCTAAACCCTAGACCCTAGACCCTAGACCCTAAACCCTAAACCCTAAACCCTACAGACCCTAAACCCTAAACCCTATGAACTCAGCGCAAGAAAGGTATAAAGTCTACGAGGCACTCGCTGGGCTGCACGAGGATCGGCGATGCGAAGCTCCCTACCTCTTTGTCTGGCTGCACGGCATGGATACTTTGCTTTGTGGTGCTTTACTGTCTAAACTTTAGATCCTTAGCCTTTTTGCTTTGTGGTACTTTACTAGAACTTTAGATCTTTAGCTTTGTTGGGTTTATTGGGTTTCTTAAGAAGGATACTTTGCTTGGTAGCCCAGTGGTACCCTTTTCCCTTTGGGCCATTCTTTAGGACACAGCAGGGGAATTCTCTTTGTGGTACTTTACTGCAACTTTAGCTCTTTAGCTTTTTTGGGTTTATTGGGCCTCTTAATAAGGCAGCTAACAATTTAATTTGTAGCTACCCTCCTAAGTGCAGCCAAGTTTGTAGCTGAGTGAGTACACGTTGCACTTTTTGGGATGCTCTGGTTGCCCTATAGAACTGAAAGTGTACACTTTTTGGGATACTAGAATTTTCCTATAGAACTGAAAGTTTATACCTTTTGGGGGGGGGGCTTATGAACTCAGCAGCTAAGGACAATGGCATGATCGAGCCCGCATACCTACGGACGATGCAGACCCGACTGCAACGAAGAGTTATATTCGTGGTTCCCAAGAGTCCAGGCACCATCAACGGTCTGCACTTCAACTGGGGATGTTGCTTCACCAAGAGCGACAACAAGAAGCAGCTGGGCTACGTCTTCGGCACGCTGCACCAGGAGTACATGCGCGACCTCACGGCAAAGATCAGCGAGATCGCATGCATCTTCCAAGCTGAGAGTTTCTTGGCGCCCAACCCTCAACCCTAAACCCTAAAACTTAAACCCTAAACCCTAAACCCTAAACCCCCCCCCATAATCAGGAACCTTGGTGATGGGCTACAGCATGGGCGGCTTCGGGGCCTTCCAGCTCGGGGCGATGGCGCCAGACGTCTTTGACGTGGGCCTTGGGGTGGTTTAGGGTTTAGGGTTTAGGGCTTAGGGTTTAGGGTTTCGGGTTTAGGGTTTAGGGTTCAGGGTTTAGGGTTTAGGGTTTCGGGTTCAGGGTTTCGGGTTTAGGGTTTGGGGTGGAATCAGGGTGCGTGCGGTCTGTTAACTTCAGGGGCGGTTGTGAGTCTAGGACGCAGCAGGGGAATTCTGATGCTACCAAACTAGTACGCTGATACTAAACACTCCCAATACCCTCAGCAAGCAGCATCAATGCCCCTAAGCACTTTGAACCCTACATCCTAAGCACCCCAAACCCTAAAACCCTAATGCCTCAGCGGCCTAAGCAGCAGTCAGGTGGTGGTGTCGGTGGCGGGCTATGGCTTGGGGACACTTGAGCCCCAAGGTGAGATGCCTCTTGGGGCGATTCGAGTTTAGGGTTTAGGGTTTGGGGTTTGGGGTTAAGGGTTTAGGGTTTCGGGTTTAGGGTTTAGGGTTTAGGGTTTCAGGAGACTATCTTCAATTTGGGGTTTGTAGGTGTTTGTGTGGAAGAGCCATCTTCCTGCAGCTGCTCGGTATTACTTGCAGATGAAAGCCTGCGCATGGCGCAGACTGTACTTGGAGGTTCATGGTACTTATTAACAAATTTTAACTGTACTGAGAACTGTACTTATAAACATATTTGGGCACTTAAGGGGCTTATTATACTAGGCTTGGGGGTAGGCCCTTTTCCTTTTTTTTGGGGTTGGGGTTTCCTTATAATCCCCTTAAAGCCACAAGGGCACCCTTTTTATTGTTAGGTTACTCTTGGGTCTAGTATAACTGGTTAACAAGTACCATGAACCTCCAAGTACTGAACGCTTATACCTAACGCAAACAAAGCTCGACCGGCAGATATATGAATGGAGGAATAGAGGGGTTTAGGGTTTAGGGTTTAGGGTTTAGGGTTTAAGGTTATTGGGACAGAGGTGGGAGAGAGGTGGGAGAGAGCAATGAAAGCAATGCGTGTATGTATAGAAAAGAAGCAATGTCTTAGAAACTCGTACCTCTTTGCTTGTTCCGATGTGGTTTTTGCAAGACACAAAGTTATCTCCAGTACTGCATGCCTTGAAATCGGCCCGAGGTACGATGCACCGCAGCCGGCGGCGAGAAAACGATTTAGAGTCTTCCTTCAGCAGGTTGCGTCAAGATTGAGTCTGGTACCTGTCGTGCTCGCCATGCACGCCCAAAAGGAGCCTTCGCCTCCTCAGACCTCAGCATTTCGTGGTCTCTGCATTTCTTTCTTCTTGTAGTTGGGACGAAGAGGGGGTTTACGAAAATAAGGGGCCCCTAATGTGGACCCCCAACTAGTAGGATTCCCTTAGAATAAGGACCTCAAGAAGGTAGACCCTAATATCGTAACCCCCCAAGTGAGGATTCAATGTCCAGCTTCCGAGACGTTTCCGCCATTATCCGCCATGTGCAGCAAGTCAGCATCGCACGAGGTTCTGACAGCATCTGGACCACAATTTGGGGGTTTTCGAAAAACAAGGGACCCTTAAAATAGAACCCCAAATAGTAGGATTCTGGCCTAATCAGGACCCCAACCCGGTACCCCTAATTTCGGAGAGGTCCAAGGGCCCCTAGCGTTCAGGGCTTTAGGCTAATGATGCTTGAGGCTTTCGGGTCTACCTGGGACCCACGAAACTAGGAAGCCCAGTAGTGCCCTTATTCCCTTTTTTGGGGCTCTAGGTCCCCCTATAAACCCCTTTAAGCAAAAAAGGGCACCCTTTTTAAACCTAGGTTACTGGGCAACCTAGGAAAAAGCTACAGTTTTTTAAGGGTTACACCTGCTAAACAGGGGCTGCTCACTGCTCAACTGTAGGTTTGATAGGGCCCCAGGCAGGGCTTAGAAGAAAGCATGCGAGTAGCCCTAAACCCTAAACCCTAAACCCTAAACCCTAAACCCTAAACCCTAAACCCTAAACCCTAAACCCTAAACCCTAAACCCTAAACCCTAAACCCTATAAACCCTAAACTGCTCCGAGGCATCGTCCAGCTCTTCGAAGTACCCGATGAGATGGCGGACTCCGACAGGGGACGCAAGAAGAAGAACAAAAGCGGCCACCACTACTTCAACTGCACCTAGCACCCAGTGTAGGCCCTTATTCCCTTCTTTGTTAGGGCTTAGGGCTTAGGGCTTAGGGCTTAGGGCTTAGGGCTTAGGGCTTAGGGCTTAGGGCTTAGGGCTTAGGGCTTAGGGCTTAGGGCTTAGGGCTTAGGGTTAGGGTTTAGGGTTTAGGGTTTAGGGTGCCCCTGTAAACCAAAAACGGGCACCCTTTTTTCTTGCTAGGTTACTCTGGGGTTTGGAATTTTGCTCAACCCTAAACCCTAAACCCCAAACCCCAAACCCTAAACCCTAAACCCTAAACCCTGAACCCTGAACCCTAAACCCTAAACCCTAAAGGCACCTTACTGGACGACTCAAGCGACGCGTTCTTCTGGTCCAAGCTCCAGGGCTTCCTTCAAGTTGCCGGACCACGGATCCTCGGCCGGGTCTCCACCTGAAGTAGGAGGGTTTAGGGTTTAGGGTTGAGGGTATAAGGGTATAAGGGTTTAGGGTTTAGGGTTTGGAGTTCAGGGTTTAGGGTTTAGGGGTAGGGTTTAGGCTTCAGGGTTTAGGGTTCAGGGTTTAGGGTTAGTGGCCTGAATATATTTGTTTTGTTTTTTTGGGTGGGTGGGTTCTTGTCGTATAGTTACAAAAGGATCCCAGGGGAGTACCATCATTTAGTAATTATTCCGAACCCTATATTTTGCTGGGCTTATGCTCCATCTCCCTCACTAGAGCTGATGGTAGCACAATTCCACGACTCTATAACCCTAAAACCTAAATCCTAAACCCTAAACCCTACACCCTAAACCCTAAACCCTAAACCCAAGTCTAGGGTTCCACTTCGTTGGCAAAGGATGGAGCTATAAGGGGTATAAAAGCGGTGCCCTTTTAGGGGCCATGCACTACCCTTAGAGCAAAGGATGGAGCCCTAAACCCTAAACCCTAAGCCCTAAACCCTAAACCCTAAGCCCTAAACCCTAAACCCCAAACCCCAAACCCCAAGCCCCAAACCCTAAACCCTAAACCCTAAACCCTAAACCCTAAACCCTAAACCCTAAACCCTAAACCCTAAACCCTAGTCAAAAGGATGGAGCTGCAAACCGTTAGCTTGGACTCCATCGCGCGCTTCGGGACCTCGAGTGGCAAACCCGTGTGTGCCGCGCTGGGAGTTAAGGGAATTAGGACCCGGAGTGGGCCCCCATATTACCTGTTTTAAAGAGTAGGCCCTTAGTGGGTTTAGGGTTTAGGGTTTAAGGTTTAGGGTTTAGGGCTAGGACCCAGAGTAGGCCCTTATTCACGTCTTTTAGGGTTTAGGTTTCCCCTACACCCCCTTTACACCAAAGTGGGCACCCTTTTTTATTATTGCTAGGTTGCTCTTGGGTCTAGAGCAGCCTTACTGGACCAAACGGACCCTAAAATTGTGGGAGGGGTTTGGGTTTAGGGTTTAGGCTTTAAAGGTTCAGCGTTTAGGGGACCAATGAACCGTAAAATTCGGTCATTGCTACTCTGTAGACTGCTACAACTCCTACTAAGGTGTATGAAAACCTAAACCCTAGCCCTAAACCCTAAACCCTAAACCCTACCCTAAACCCCTTTTCGAGTTCATCTGGTCCTCGAGGTGAGAGGACCCCCAATACCTACTTTCGGGGAACGGTGCAGTGCTTAGGGTGTATTTCGGGTTACTTGCTTTTTTTGGTAGGTTCCTAGGAAGCTTACTAAGGGGATCTGATACCTTATACTCCTTTAAAGGGACGACTAAGAAGGAAACTAGTTCCCAAAGGTACCTTATGTCCCCTTGAAGGGAGAACCAATATAGGGAGCTAGTTTCCAAATTCCCGACTGCCAACCAGTTAGGTGAATAAGATTCTTAGGGCAGTTACATAGTCCCCGAGTGTCGGGCCCTTAAAAGGGGACCCCTCATATACCCCTCATATACCCTATACAACCCAAGGGCCCATACTTCAGAACCGTTTATAGGAGGAGGGATAATCAATATTAGGGACAATATTAAGGGCCCCTGAAACTACCCTTGGAAGGATAGCCCCCTCAAGCAAGAAAGCCCTATGGCACACCATGAGACCCAACAAACTCACCCTAAAGGGTATATATAGGTGGATATAGACTTAGGGTTTAGGGTTTAGGGTTTAGGGTTTCGGGTTTCGGGTTTCGGGTTTAGGGTTACTCTACATATTCCTTAAAAAGGTTCTTATGTGACACATTTCCCCAAAAGGGGTTTTGTTGTGTTCCGACACCTCAACAGGGATTCCAGCAGCATAGGGTATGCGACTTCAACTTTGAGGGTTAGCCCTAAGCCGGAAACCCTAAACCCTAAACCCTAAACCCTAAACCCTAAACCCTAAACCCTAAACCCTAAACCCTAAACCGTCTGCGAGGTTGCCGGTGTGGTCCTTGGTGGAAGGCACGAGGTGGATGGGAAGGTGAGCAAAGCGGTGCTCGCGCTCCCCAGGCAGCCATGACCCAGCGCTTCTCGCCCTACTGATCAAAATCGTTTAGAGTTTAAGGGTTTAAGGGTTTAAGGGTTTAAGGGTTTAAGGGTTTAGGGTTTAGGGTTAAGGGTTTAAGGGTTTAAGGGTTTAAGGGTTTAAGGGTTTAAGGGTTTAAGGGTTTAAGGGGTTAAGGGGTTAAGGGTTTAAGGGTTTAAGGGGTTAAGGGGTTAAGGGTTTAAGGGTTTAAGGGTTTAAGGGTTTAAGGGTTTTCACAGGGGGTTTCGGGTTGACTACTTTGCTATGTGCTTAAGAACCCCCTAAAAACAACAAAGAATAGTCATGCCTTCATTGAGGAATAATGTCTTCTATTTGTGTTCGGGGGGGGTTCTGAAGCAAATGGTAGGTGATGAGCCGAGAAAAAGGCCACTTTTGTCCAAGCATTAGGGTTTGGGACTTAGGGTTTAGGGCTTCGGAGTGACTGTCTTCGAGTCTACGGCGCAGATGGGTTGCCCAAGAATGCTAGCTTTGAACGAACAGCACAACATATAAATCCAAGAAGGGCCGAAACTTCACAATCTAAGCCGCTAAAACGACATAGCCGCACTGTCTCAGTTGAGCCTTCAAAGCTCAAAACCTGAAAGTTAGCGCTCGATTAAGGTCAGGATTTCAGGTGCCCTATAAACCCTAAACCCCATATATACATTGTTTGTTTTTGTTTGGGGTTCTTCCTTGAGGACCCAATATGCGGGTGTGCTTACACTGTTCGCCGGACTAGTAACGTCCCATGTAGGAATCTAGTTGTAATGGCTCACCCGCGTAGTGTCCCTCATAATGGGGTTTAGGGTTCAGGGTTTAGGGTTTAGGGTTTAGGGTTATTTAAGGTTTAGGGAGCCAGTGCTGGGGGCAAGGCTTCAAGTTGTAAGGCCAACTGTCCCAACTCTCAGCCCCAAACGGTTAGAGTTGTGGGCTCATGCAACCACAACCCCAAACCCTAAATGCTCCGAATCCCTGAAACCCCAAATCGTTGCTCAGAGTTCAGGGTTTCGGTGGTTTCCGAGTCGGGGCACATGCATGTTTGGGGTTTAGGCTGTGTGTTCAGGGGCGAAGTCTCTGGCAAGAATCAGTTTAGGGTTTAGGGCTTGTTCTTCAGGGTTTAGGGTTTGTAGATATTGCATACGGTTTTTAGACCGGACAAGTTATGATCGAACGTTTTGACCTTTTGACCAAAACGTTCTGACATTTTTTCAGAACCTAGTGTTCTTTCATGATCAGGTCCATACCCTAAACCCTACAAACCCTAAAGACCCTGAAAACCTGAAAAGGCCGAATCCAGTACAACGGTGGCGGCCAATTCACCCCAAGCGATTCGACCAAGGTTGCGACGCGCGGGGTTATTTTTGGCGAGCCGAAAAAGTTGGGGCATAGCTAAGACCACGAAAAGGTTAACATTTTTGTTGAGCATGCATTCCAACATCCAATAGACATCTTACAAGTTGGTTTTCTTTTTCAAGGGTACAGGGTTTAAGGTGACAACATGTGTTTTTGCACAAGGAAAATTCAGGCTTTAGGCTGTAGGCTCTAGGCTTCAAGGCTTAAGGTTTCAGCGCTTAAGGCTTTAAGGCTTCAGGGCTTTGGAAGCTTTCGTGGCCACTCTGCTTTGCAAGCTTCCCATTCCCATATGACGTTTGCTGCAGCAGGAGTGTTTTGGGCTCACCCTACCGTGCAAATGATGTATGTGCCCCCCGTGGGAGAGGCTTGCCTCCCAGAGGAGAAATTTCCTCCATGGTCCCAGGGAGGCCAGGCCGGATGGAGCTGTGGCGAGGCTAGTGGAGTCAAGCTACTGGGCAGTTTCCCTGGTGTCTTTCAGGCACAAGAAGCAATTCCCCAAGAAGGCCCGTGAGTCTGGCAGCTGCAGGCTGGACTGTGATATGGGCTCGAGATTTGATGTTTCAGGTTTAGGGTTTAGGGTTTAGGGTTAGGTTTTGGGTTTTAGTTGGGAAGCTACACCTTTGTTTTTAACAGTTCAGGGTGGTGCTGCCAGGAGCCAAGGCAGCTGCTGGGAGGGAACGGTCTACTAGAGGAAGTGAAGCAGGCCAGCAGACAAAAGTAAGGACATTGCAAGAAAACTTAATTCTTATTCACCCACCCCGCAGTTCTAAACCATAAATGCAAGGGGTCGGTTTGCATTTATGTCTTCTTGGGAAACCGTTCCAGACCTTTATAAGGTTTCCTGGTCAAGCATCCATGCTGAGGATAGCGCCCTGCAGGCCATTCAGCAAGTGGTAGTGGTCCCCGAAGACGGAGCCCACCAAGAATGAGGAGGCCAGTCCCAGAAGATTTGAGCAGACTCCTCGGAGATGACAACAATGCACCATGGGATGTTGACACTGTCATCTTGCAGGTGAGGGCTGGTGCCCTGCCTTACTTTGGTATTCTTTGGGAGCTTGGGGGATCCTCTCCAAGAGGAGCTTCTTCAGACTTCCCTGCAGGATTGGAATTGTGTGACAAGCACCATTCAGCTGGAGGTAGAGCTGAAGCCTTTTGTAGCATGAACAAGACATGAAAGCCCCCCATTGTATCAACGAAGTTCTTTGTTGGGGCTGTTCAAGGGTCCTTTAATGCGGTAACTTGTCCACGTTCTTCCTGTTCATCTGTTCACTCACTGACTGTATGTATTAAAATGTATGAGCTCAGCTCCCCAGTCAGCGACACCCTAGCCATCGTTTTCTGGCTGATGGTTTAGGGTTTCATGTTCAGGGTCTAGCGCCTGAAAGTTTTTGCAACGGCATGTGCAAGCAAAAAAACGACCAGCATGAGCGAGCTCTTGAAAATCTGTGACATTTTTGTATCCGTTTAAAGTTTGTTGTTAGTTTCTTAGTCATATCATCTTTACTGATATTTCGGCCTGTAAGGCGCCCTATAAAATCGTAAACGAATTGAATGAACGGTCGGTTCCGCGGTTAGCTTCTTCAGAATCTCTGCTTAGGGTTTAGGGTTTAGGGTTTAGGGTTTAGGGTTTAGAGTTTAGGGTTTAGGGTTAAGGGTTTAGGGTTTTCGGCGTTAAGGTTTCGAGGGTTCACAAAGCTTCGTGAGGCCGATTTGGCTCAGACCTTCCCCGGCCGGCGTTTCCACGCGAGGCACCACGAGGGTAGAAAAGAGGTGTTTGTTTGGGGCTTCAATATCCTCAAGCCCTATATATAAACCCAAAACCCTATAAGCCCCAAATTCCTCTCAACCCGAGGTGCGAAAGCCTAAGCCCCAAAACGGCCCAGGGTGCCACCCTAAACCCTAAGCCCTAAACCCTAAACCCAGGAGGGGGGGGGGTGGGTTTCGGAGCCATGACGCTTGTGATGCTGCTGAAGCTGCCCGGCGTGTCCGGATGAAGCTGGCGCTACTTCTCGTTGTCTGCCCGCTGGCTAAGGGTTCAGGGTTCAGGTTTCAGGGTGTAGGGTTTAGGGTTTAGGGTTCAGGGTTTAGGGTTTTGGGTTTTGGGTTTAGGGTTTAGGGTTTAGGGTTTAGGTACTTAAAACACTATAAACCCTAGACTCTATCACCCCAAATTCAACTATAGACTTTAGGCCAGAGATCCCCAACTGCCCCTCCATTTACTCCCCCAGAGGCCCGCGTAGGGTGAGGTTTAGGGTGGACGAGACTCCAATACCCAAGAAGGGGTCCCCTGTTAAGGGCCCATGCTAAGGGACCTTGTATCTACCCTAAGATTCCGGAAGCTTCTGTAAGTACAGAGTATCGTTTTTTCTTCATAAGACATGGACTCTGACAACCCCTGTATTTGGCTTTTGGCTTGGGCTTTTTGAGCGTGTTTTCTACTTTTGGTTCCCAAGCTTCAAACAGGGGTTTCTAGCTCTAGGGTTTAGGGTTTAGGGTTTAGAAGTTTAGGGTTAAGGGACGTCGTGGGATTCTGCCGGCGAGGTCAATCCACTCTATCTTTACGCCCGGATGTGTCGCAGGCCCTCGGAACCCGTCATGAACTCTTGCAGTTCTTTGCGAGTTGCTTGAGAACCCCCGCAAGAAATGAAAATATTCTTCCTTGTAAGGGCAATATAGGAATTATAATTTCACATTTTTGGGGGCTTCTTAAGCAAATAATATTTCTCGGGTGAAGGTTCCCTATAGGGTTCGCCTTTGGTTCCCGAGTTATCCATCCGCCTTTGGGCCCCCTCCGAACAAAAAACCCGCATGTACCATGGGCAGTTTCGTGGGGTTGGCGGGCACATGAGCTCACAGAACTCCTGGGCACAAGGGGGGTCGGGAGGGAGGGAGTCGCTTGGGTTGAGTGATTGCTTGTGACAGGAGGTACCCTAAACCCTAAACCCTGGACCCCAAACCCTAAACCCTCAAGCCTAAACCTTAAACCCTAAACCCTGAACCCTAGCCTCTAAACCCCAAAGCCCCTGAACCCTGAACCCGAAAGCTCTAACTTGACAGGAGGGCCTCGATGTGGATGAGAGCCCCTGCGAGGCCATCACGCCAGCAGAGCTCTGACACTCAGCTGCTTCGAGAGCCCCCTGAAAACACAAAAAAACCCTGAATCATACCTCCAAGGACCCTTTGCCCTAAACCCAAAACCCTTTTAGCATGCCCTGAAGACCCCCAGCAAGGTATCTTGCAGGGTCTGACTCAGGGGGTGTGTGGTTGGGGGGGAGGGGGGGGTGTTGTGGGGATGCAGGTGAAGTACACCGAACCCTAAACCCTAACCCTAAACCCTAAACCCTAAGCCCTAAACCCTAAACCCTAAACCCTAAACCCTAAACCCTAACTCCTTGGCCCCTCAAACCTCGGGCGGCGTCGGCCCTATGCAACCCGGGACCCTCCTGGGAGGTCATGATGCCGCTAAGTCCCTAAACCCTAAACCCCAAACCCCAAAGCGTAAGCCTAAACCCTAAACCCTGGACCCTAAACCCCAAGCCCTAAACCCTAAACCTAAAACCCTAATGGGCTAGAAGATCCCATGGTATGTACTTCTAAACCACAACCCACACATGATAGCTCTTGGCTACTTAAGGGGCTTCTAAGTGGGTTATAGGTGCCCTAAACCCTAAGCCCTTGGCTTAAAGTAAAGCCTGAACTTATGGAAACTTGGAAATGATTGTTTATTTTGTTGGCACTTAAATTCCTAAGAAACAGCTAAAATACAAAAGTTGCTAGGGTTCCAATTTCAGTAACCCTACACCCTAAACCCTAAACCCCAAACCCTAAGCCCTAAACCCTAAACCCTAAACACGTGAACTGATCTCCTAACTTGGCCCAGGTAAGACAAAGCTCCGCGATGGGCAGTGCGGCTTGGAGCATCTCTCTCGGGCTTCCTTTAAAGGCGGTTGCGGGCTTAGGGACCCTAAGCCCTAAACCCTAAACCCTAAACCCTAAACCCTAAACCCTAAACCCTAAACCCTAAACCCTTTCAGGGCTCGTTTTTCCCAAAAAGGCTGTTTACGGTCGAGGGCTTATAGGGCTTTGGGGCCGCCAGCCCTCGGGAGCTGTTGCCAGGCCACTGCTTGGCCACAGGTGTTCAGTTCTTCGGACTTGGTCCCAACCTTGACTTAAGCCTTAGACCCTAAACCCTCAACCCACAACCCTAAACCCTGAACCCGGAACCCTAAACCCTAAACCCTAAACCCTAAACCCTAAACCCTAAACCCTAACCCCTGTCGTTCACTGGTTTGAATTGGGTCCTCTCGCAGCTGCTCCCGGCGAATGTGCGAGACGGGCGCGTTCCCGGCGATCACGAGGCCGACGGCCGTCGTCTGGCGGGCTGGTGCGCGCACAGGTGCACCAACCCGGCGTGCCGCCTGGACGACGAGCCAGAGGGTCTGGGGCCTGGAGGACCGCCACTCGTCGCACGAATGCGACGAGTGCCATGATAACCGGCACGGCTAGGCCGAAGATGAGTAATCCCCGCCCCCCACTTTCCGGAAAATCCTGCCGAAACCGACCCCGCCTTTAAACCCCATTCCCAGTTAGGTGGGGGGGGGGGGTTTCAGGGCTCCCCAAACCCTCAAGCCAACCCACATCCGGAAGCTCCCTTCCCTCCCTTCCCAGCCTAGACCCGAAACCCTGTGGACCCCAAACATGACATTCGGATGAAAACCTCCCCCTCATAATAAAAACACGTTTCGAGTTTCTATTGGGGGGGGGGGGGGGGGGGCCTAAACCCTCAACCCTCAACCCTAAACCCTAAACCCTAAACCCTACACCCTAAGCCTCCGTTTAATATACGGGGGGTTCGGCTCCAAGTTTGGGGCTTGCTTAGCGAGACGTAATAAGCCTGAATTTGCAGGGTCTAGGACCCTAAACCCTAAACCCTAAACCCGGTTTGGGGTTTGGGGGTAAACCTTCGACTCTGCATCTAAGCCCTACGCCCTGAAGGGTTTAGGGTTTGTGGGCCTAAGGTTGACCAAGAGCTTATAAGCTCTAAACCCTAAATCCTGAACCCTGCACCCTAAACCCAAACCCTAAACCCTGATCCCTGACCCTAAACCCTAAACCCTAAACCCTAAACCCTAAACCCTAAACCCTAAACCCTAAACCCTAAACCCTAAACCCTAAACCCTAAACCCTATTAGGACAATCAGTTGCAAGGCTTCTTCCTGGACGGGCCGCCGCTGAAACGAAGCCTCAAGCGCTGCCTTCTCCGGGGACCACAGGAGGCCTTAGAATCAGGGAAGATCAAGGGTTTAGGGTTTAGGGTTTAGGGTTTAGGGTTTAGGGTTTAGGGTTTAGGGTTTAGGGTTTAGGGTTTAGGGAATTTAGGGTTTAGGGTTTAGGGAATTTAGGGAGTTTAGGGAGTTTAGGGACCAGGAGGCTCTAGAATCAGGGAAGATCAATGGCTTAGGGAATTTCGGGAGTTTAGGGAATTTAGGGAGTTCAGGGAATTTAGGGAATTTAGGGAGTTTAGGGAGCTTAGGGAATTTAGGGAGTTTAGGGAATTTGGGGAATTGGGTGTACAGCAATGAGGTTTAGGATTTGGGCTGTTCCCCTGTTGAGAGGCTAGGTTACCTGACAAACCTTTTGCAAACAACAACGCCGTATCCTGAGTTACTCTTAGGCCTAGCTGTGGAAGGTTAATGGCTTATACGGCTTGTGGAGGGTGAGTTTGAGATCTCAAACGCGGTACAGGTTCCAGGACAAGCCCTGTAGCGCATGCGGATGTGGTCACCCTTGGTTAGCATGCTTTGGGTCTGCATCTGGGCTGGGTGTGGGCGAGGGGGGACGGTGTTGTATACCAGGAGAGTTGGAAAGACTTTTCGGAGGGAGTGGGGATTTTCCTTCTCACCTGCTCGAGACTCAGGGTTTTTTTTGGGTTCTGAGTTTGTAAGGGTAGGTACATGGCCCCCTCAATTATGGTCCCTTACCTCCTTTCAAAGGGTATGGGCCCTCAAGGTTATAAACTATATAAGGGGCATATACGGGGTCCCGCCCATGCACCCATATAGTATATACTTGGAATTAAATGGAGTTCCTCTCCTGTAGCCTTAGGGCCCTTAAGTGTATACTGTGCGGGTACATGGAGCCTTTGGGCTTGTGACAGGGCTTTGCGGAAGTTCGCGCGAACACCACACCGCCAAGCACCAGCACCTTAGCTGCTCAACGGTACAGAGCTTGTACAACCCCTAGTTCAACCCTAAAGCCCAAAGCCTAAACCTTAAACCCTAAATCCCAGAGAGAGAGTTCTCCATAGGGTAGAAGAATGCATCGGTGCCGATTTCTGTCATGTAGGATTTAGGGTTTCGATTTTAGGGTTCAGGGTTTAGGGGTGTTTTGGCGGGTTTAGGGTTTGGGGTTAGGGTTTGCTAGAACTCTCCCTAAGCCCGAAAAATCCACCACCCAACGGAGGATGGAAGGAACCAGGCTCTTGGGGACGAAATAGCACCCTAAACCGGGCTCGCAGGGTCCAGCGACTTTTAGGGTTAAGGGCTTTGGGTTTAGGGTTTAGGGTTTAGGGTGTAGGGTGTAGGGTGAAGTGCCTAGGGTTTAGGCTCGAGGGCTTACGGTTTCGATTTGTGTTTGTTGGGACATGTTCTGCAGCGTGCTGTCAGCCATGTGGCAGTGGTTCTGTCACGTTGTCATGCGCACATACACCCTCAACTCATAGCCCTAAACCCTCAACCCTAAACCCGAAACCCTAACCCCTAAACCCTAAACCCTAAACCCCTTCCTCAGACCCTGCAATGCAAAAAGACCTATTGTAAGCGGTCCCGGTGCCCCAACCTGCTTCGACATGTTTGCATCCCGCCTGTTTAGGGTTTCCCCCGCCTAAACCTTTTAGGTTTAGGGTTTCGGGTTTAGGGTTTAGGGTTTAGGGTTTAGGGTTTGGGGTGAAGGGTTTCGGGTTTAGGGTTTAGGGTTTAGGGTTTAGGGTTTAGGGTTTAGGGCTGCCTAAACCCAACCTAAACCCTACCTACGATTGTCTGTCTCCCTCCTTCTAATCTACAGGTAGTTGCATGGGCCCCTATAACATGGTCTCCTACCTGTCGTACATCCTTTAAAGTCCTGAAGTACAGACGCTTTGGGTTGTATAGGGTATATAAGGGCGCGTAGGGGTATTTTCAGGCGTCCCTTTTTATGGGCCCATACTAAAGACCATGTAACTACCCCTGGAACTAAGACCTACACCCTAAACTCTAGCCGTGTCTGCCAGGCGTGAGTTTGAGCGCGAGCAGGGCACGTGCCCCTTGTCATGGATGCTCTGGCTTCTTAGGTGCTGGGTAGTTGAGCCGTTTGCCTTGAACCTTTTTTGGCCCACCCTGCAACCCCTCCCCCCTCCCCCCCACGCGCCCCCAATCTTCCCTGATGACTTTCGAGTCCTAAACCCCAAACCCTAAACAGCCCTAACTCCCTAACACCCTAACACCCTCAACCCTAACCCCAACCCTAAACCCCATTTTAAAAAAACAAATAACCTGGGAACCCTAAACCCTATAACAACCCTGGAGTCCCTAAACCCTATAAAAAAGCCTGGAAACCCTAAACGAAAAAACTCAACAACCCTAGGCCCTATAAAGACCCTGGAAGCCCTCAACCCTGGAAAAAAAAAAACCTAAAAGACCCTAATTCAACCCTATTCAATCAACAAAAAACCTAAAGGCAACTCCTAAAGACCTGCTCCCAAGCCGCCCCTTCAGAGGCATCCCTACGGGGCGGCCTGATCTTCCGCGGCATCCGCCTGGACCGGTGGATGCACGTTAGGGTTTAGGGTTGAGGGTTGAGGGTTGAGGGTTTACGGTTTAGGGTCTAGGGTCTAGGGTTTAGGGTTGAGGGTTGAGGGTTTAGGGTTTAGGGTTTACGGTTTAGGGTCTCGGGTTTAGAGTTCGCAGCTGAATGAGTACACTTGACACTTTTCGGGATACTCTAACTCCCTGTAGAACTGAAAGTGGTTTAGTGCTTGGCGTCAGTCATCGAGCCGGTCCTGAAAATCACGCCACACATCATTTCTAGTTCCTCACAGATTGTGGTCTTCACCAGCATCAGGCTTCAGATGCCTTTCAAGTTTGTCAAGCTGGACATAAAGGAGTTCTTCATGAAGGGTGGCATCAGCGAGCTTCTCGGTGCCCACCTTCTGGAAACAAATATCCAGGAACCGTATAAACGCGCTGTGAACTTCCTGCTCACCCACCAGTACGTGTCTTCATCTGCCTTTCCAAGGAAACTTTGGGGGTGCTTATGAACTCAGCAACCAGGCTACCGTTTGCTTGAGAACAACCCAAACAAAGCAAAAGATCATCATGACTGCTTTTGCTTTTGAGGGTTTAGGGTTTACGGTTTAGGGTTTGTGTGGCTTCGCCTTCCCGGTTGTCGGCCGTCTCGGAGCGTGTTATGGCTGGGGTTTCTGGGTCTTCGAAAGTCCTAAACCCTACCTGGAGCAAGCTTGCACTGTAAACAAATTAGGTAAACCTACCCAAAGTGGTGTGGTACATGTCATCTGTTTCTTGTTAGGTATAAAGGTTACTCTAGGTGAATACTTTAGAGAACTCAAGTACAGGAGACTCGAACTAGAAGAACAGCTCCACGAACGAGGGTGGGGACAACAGAAGAGTCCCAAACCCTAAATCGGGTTCATCTAAACTGAACCCCTAAACCCCTCAACCCTAATTAAACCCTAGACCCTAATGAACCCTAAATCGGGTTCATCTAAACTGAACCCCTAAACCCCAAAACGCTACGTAAACCCTAAACCTGGAGCCCAAAAACCCGATTAGCCCTGCGCCCTAAACTTGGTACCCGAAGAAAAGACCCTCATCAACTCCAAACCCTTACCCTAACCCTAAACCCTAACATTAAACCCCAAACCATAAACCCGAAACCCTACACCCCGAACCCCAAACCCAAGCCCTAACAAGCTCTAATCAGCCCTAAACCCTAACCCCCAATGAACCTCTCATCAACTCCAAACCCCAAACCCCAAACCCCAAACCCTAAACCCTAAACCCTAAACCCTAAACCCTAAACCCTAAACCCTAAACCCTAAACCCTAAACCCTATTCAGCCCCAACAAGCTCTCAACCCTAAACCCTAAACCCTAAAGCTTAAAAACTTAAAAGCCCGGGGAAAGACCAGGAGTTCCAGGGACTTCACCTCCGGGGCGCGAGGCCCGGCTTGGGGTTTGGGGTTTAGGGTTGGGTTTAGGGTTTAGGGTTTAGGGTGTTTAGGGTGTTTAGGGGGTTTAGGGGGTTTAGGGTTTAGGGTTTAGGGTTTAGGGTTTAGGGTTTAGGGTTTAGGGTTTAGGGTTTAGGGTAGGGCTTAGGGCTTAGGGCTTAGAGTTTCGGACTTAGGGTTTTAGGGTTTAGGGTTTAGGGTTCTTGGGAAGCCCATCTCCATGCATTTCTTCAGGGTCCAGGTTTTGCGGGCCCTATAGACCCTAAAGCTTTAAAGCCCTAAAGCCCTAAACCCTAAACCCATCCTGTCGCAGGCTGCAGATGTACGACACAGAGCGTGGCGGCCTGGGCACAGGCAGTCGCACACGGCAACGCGATGGAGGGGCCCCCTGGCTCGCATACCGAGGGTTTAGGGCTTAGGGTTTGGGGTTTAGGGTTTGGGGTTTAGGGTTTAGGGTTTAGGGTGTTGGGGTAGTGCTAGGGTTTTAGGGTTTTAGGGCTTTAGGGTTAAGGGTTTAGGGTTTTAGGGTTTAGGGCTTTGGGTTTTGGGCCGATACCTGCAGTTTGCCCAGTTCTTCTCACTAGGGAAGAAGAGATGAGGGACCCCAAGCAATCCCTTATAAAGGTTTATATTCATAGATATATATATATATATATATATATCTATAGATTTATTCATTTATAGATATCTATGTATGTGTATATATACATAAATATTTTTAAAGAGGGAACTATAACGTACTTAATTCCCTGCTACCCTACTAAGAAGCAGTAAGGTAAGGGAAGCTTCGGCACCGTGGATTCCTAGGCCTGAAGCCTTGAATTCCAAAGTCCAATGGCTGGAAATGCAGGGGAACGCGCGGTTTAGGGTTTAGGGTTTAGGGTTTAGGGTTTAGGGTTTAGGGTTTAGGGTTTAGGGTTTAGGGTTTAGGGTTTAGGGTTTAGGGTCCCTCGCTACAACTACTAGCCGCTAGGGTGTAGGGTTTTGTGTTCAGGGTTTAGGGGCTAGTCTTGTCAAGATGTAGCCAACATGGCCCAGGCATCCAGATTCACAGTCCACAAGCTTGCACTGTGCACTACAGGGGACAAAAGGTACCTCACTCCCTCATTTCCTTCCAAGAACCAGCAGGTTACCACAAACACCTCCAAGCAATGGCCCTCAGCCCTTACACTTGCGACCTCGAACCCTTAAGCGATGCTTGAACGAACCTGCTTATTAGCCCTTAACCATCCCAAGCACCTAAACCCTCCCAACAAAAGCAAGCCCCAAGAGCTCTAAAGCCTCGAAACCCCTAATCCCCGAAACCAATAAAAACCCCCAAACCCCTAAATTCCTAAGCCCCTAAACCCGAAGCCCCCACCCCCCGCTACCCGGAAGTTTTTCTTTCTATCTTATGACGCGTTCGCTTGGCACCTGGACTGCTTTCCCGAAAACCTAAACCCCAAACCCGGAACCCTAAACCCTGAACCCTAAACCTTTCTTGAGGCCATGTGGGCCGGTAAAGGAGGCCTCAAGGTCGCGGACTCGCAGGTCTACGTGACGTGGTCGAATCTTCGTATACGGGGTTTAGGGTTTAGGTTTAGGGATTAGGGTTTAGGGTTTAGGGTTTGGGGTTTAGGGTTTAGGGTTATTAGCTGAATGAGTACACTTGACACTTTGTGGGTTACTATAATCGACTAACACGAGCTGAAAGTGTAAATTTTGGGGGGCTTCATGAACTCAGCAACTAAGCAAAAGGACTCCTGGATGGGATGTTCAGGGGTTTCAAGGTTCAGGGTCTAGAGTTTTCGGGTTTCAGGGTTTTGCAAGAATTATAGATTGGCTTGCAAGTTCCCTCGCCTCCTTGTAGGGGATATACAGATATAGCGCATATGAAGGTTATGTTTTCTTGTGTATATACATTCAGTGACGCCCCTAGACGCTTCTCGGGGAGGGTCGTAACGCGCGTGAGGTTCAGGGATTGAGGTTTTGGGCTTTCGGTATAGGGACAAGGGTTTGGGTCAGGGTTTAGGGTTAGGGTCTAATTTGGTTTAGGGTTTAGGGTTTAGGGTTTAGGGTTTAGGGTTTAGGGTTTAGGGTTACAGGCCCGAAACGCCTTCCTCCCGGACACCTACAGCACGAACGAACCAACCCCAAATCCCAAACCCCAAACCCCCCAAACCCCCCAAACCCCCCAAACCCCCCAAACCCCCCAAACCCCCCAAACCCCCCAAACCCCCCAAACCCCCCAAACCCTAAACCACCCCCCCCCCCTCCCCACACACACGCACCCAAAAAGGAGAAAGAACAAATAGTCTCCCCCCCCCGAAGCTTGCTTGCCTTGTGCTTTTTTTGGAGTACGGTTTAAGGGGTGGGTGGGGTTCGAGGGTTTAGGATCTTTTCAGGGTTTGACGGCTTTGGGCATTTTGCGACTTCGCGCATTGGGGGGATCTTGGGGTTTGGGGGGTTTGAACCCCAAACCCTAAACTCCCAAACCCCGAAAAACCCCCAAATTCTAAACCCGAAACCGCACACCCCTGAATATTATTCACTTCACTCTCCCTTTACTTCCATCCCGTGTTACCGCCTGGTTAGTAATACCAAGAGACGATCGCATGCCAGGTTAACCGTGTAAAAGGGAGTCTCATGACAAGGCACGTGAATGCACTTCGTAAACTCGCTTATTCACTCCCTTTTCTCCTTCACTTCTTTCTTATATTTCATGCATTATAAGGAACGCATGAATGCACGAATACGCGAATATAATGAACCCGACGTAAGTGCCTTCAGCCGAAAACTCAAAAAATCCCAAACCCTACACCCGAAACCCGAACCAAACTTCTGATTCCTACAACCCCCCAACTCCCTAAACCCTAAACCTTAATCCCTAAACCCTGAACCCTAAAAGGTGAACAGCTCCACGGCCAAAGCAGGGGGTGCCATCTTTGTGGCCAGCAGGAGCTTCTGCCGGGGTTCGCTAGGGGAGGTAGGGTGTAGGGCTTAGGGTTTAGGGCTTAGGGTTTAGGGGTTAGGGTTTGGGGGGCCTTGTGCCCTGTGATAATCGCGGGGATTCCCTGAGCCCTTTTTACGGTTCAGGGCTTATAGGGTTTAGGGTTTCGGGTCTACCCTAGCATCCTAACAAGCAGGCAACCCTAAACCCCAGACCCTAAACCCTAGCCCTAAACCCTAAACCCTAAAACCTAGCCTTAAACCCCCAACCCTAAACCCTAATCCCTAAACCCTAAACCCTAACCCTAAACCCGTACCCTCCAGGCTGGCCTCCCCTTTCTACTTTCTTTGGGATCTTCTTAGAAGATTCCTTCAATAAATAAATATATATATATATATACATATATATAAGTGCATATATATATATATAGAGAGAGAGAGATAGCAGGGTTCCTCATATGGTAGAAGGAATATTCCTTAATTATACTCCTTAAATACATCTGAGGGCCCCTTTTATGGTTTAAGGAATATTCCTGAACATGTTTATGGTGGTTCCTTATATGGTTCAAGGAATATTCCTTCACTATACACTAGGGTTCCTTATATGGGAATAGTCCTTAAATAAATACATAAATAAATAACTAAACAAATATATATATATATATATATACATTAGGGTCCCTTATATGGTTTAAGGAATATTCCTTCGCTAGTCTTAGAGTCTCCGGCTTCTTTCTCACTGCAGGGGCCAGCTCCTCCTGACCAATCACTCCAAGCTCGTCTCCCAGCTGCAGTGAAAGGATGTTGTTCAGAGTGTCCTAGAACTAAACCCCAAACCCTAAACCCTAAACCCTAAACCCTAAAACCTAAACCCTAAACCCTAAACCCTAAACCCTTGACCTTGAACACTGAACGAAACCCCAGGGCAGAGAAGCCCTGAGAGCCCTAAGTCGTTCCGCCACCCCCCTCCCTCCCCTGCCTCCCTAAGCCCTAAGCCCTAAGCCCTAAGCCCTAAACCCTAAACCCTAAACCCTAAACCCTAAACCCTAAACCCTAACCCTTGACCTTGAACCCTAAACGAAACCCTAGTCCAGAGAAGCCCTGAGAGCCCTAAGTCGTTCCGCCCCCCCCCTCCCCCCCCTCCCTCCTAACCCTATACACCCTAAACCCTGAACCCTACACCCTAAACCCTAAACCCTGCCGAAGTCCGGCACGGAAACTTGAGTGCGAATCCCAGAAAACCTAATGCCCTAAACCCGAAGCCCCTGAAGCCCGTCAAGCCCCTGAAGCGCCTAAAGGGTTTAGGGTTTAGGGTTTAGGGTTTAGGGTTTAGGGTTTAGGGTTTAGGGTTTAGGGTTTAGGGGCCATCCTGAACCTCCAAGACCAGGTGACTGAGAACACGCATGCCATGCTGTCTGGCGGCAGCATCTACGCCAGGAACTTCCGTATGGAGACTTGGTCCCTGCCGTGACCAGATGTTCTTTTGTGTGGGCGTGTCGTGCCGTTTGGGTTTAGGGTTTAGGTTTTTGGATTTTGGGTTGTGCCGTTAGGTTTTAAGGTTTAGGGCTAGGGTTTAGGGTTTAGGGTTTTGGGTTTTGGGTTTTGGGTTTAGGTCTTAACCTTGTCATTATTGACTCTAGGACTCAGATGACAGGGGCTCTCGGGGGTTAGAGAGGTGACCACATAACCAGCTTTGGACCCATGCATCAGATCAACCGTACCACCCTGGAACTTGGAGTAATGATGTTGTTGTGCGCGGGTGAATCAGAGAAGTACTGAGCGCACACGTGAAGAGAACTCTCTTAGAATTCTAACAAAGTGAATGAAAGGAGCGAGCGAGAGAGAGAGAGAGAGAGAGACACAGAGACACAGAGACCCTTAACCCTAAACCCTAAAGGATTCCATCCCAAGGGTGAAACCATAAAAAAACCCAGGAGAGCAATACCATCCACCAAGCGGCTGTATAGCAAATACACAAGTTTATAGGGTTCCTAAGGGATGGGGGGCTCAAGGGGGGTATGTAACCCAAGGCTCCCTAGGCTTCCCTAAGATTCCCTAGGTACCTACCCCCCTCCCGTAAGAACACTTTTACAAGTTCTTGGTAGCCCAGGTGGAGCCTTTACCCTTTTGTTGGGGTTCTGGGTTCCCTTGTGAAATAACCAACCCCAAAAAGGGTGCCCTTATCAAAGCATGGCTGCTGGGCTACCAAGAGTTTTAGACAAGCATGTCTAGGTGTTAGGTCTTTAAACGTGGCCACCATCTAGTACTACACCCCAAACCACCCTAAAGTCGAGGTATACCCTGTCTATCTCGACCCACTTCAAGGTGGGTATATTTTCCCCCCCCCCGAATAGCCCTTATCTGAGCCTGATCAAGGACCCAAAGGATACCCACCTTTGAGCTCCCTTCTTGTCCTTGTGTTTAGGTACGTGGGCCTTGAGGTATAAGATCGCCCATAAATCCTAAACCTTAAACCCTAAACCCTAAACGCTAAACCCTAGCTCTAAACCCCAAACCCTAAACCCTAAACCCTAAGCTCCCCATCGGCCCAGGAGAACAGGTCGGCTCTGCAAGTGCGAAAGTCCTCGGGCAAGGATGGAGGTGCCTTGGGGACCAAAGGAACCCTAAAGTAGGGTTTAGGGTTTAGGGTTTAGGGTTTAGGGTTTAGGGTTTAGGGTTTAGGGTTTAGGGTTTAGGGTTTAGGGTTTAGGGTTTAGGGTTTAGGGTTTAGGGGAATTGGAGGGTTTAGAGGGTTTGGAGGGTTTAGAGGGTTTAGAGGGTTTGGAGGGCTTTGAGGGTTTAGAGGGTTTAGAGCGTTTAGAGGGTTTAGAGGGTTTAGAGGGTTTAGAGGGTTTAGAGGGTTTAGGGTTCAGGGTCGGGGTTTAGGGTTCAGGGTTTCGGGGGTTTAGGGATTTTGTTTTCGGGGTGTAGGGTCTAGGGCTTCGGGAGTTTAGGGTTTAGGGTTTTTAGGGCCAGGGTTTAGGGTTTAGGGCTTCGGGGGTTTAGGGTTTAGGGTTTAGAGCTTAGGGCTTCGGGCTTGCCAGAGTCAGAGGCGCCAACACACCTTTGTTTCCTGGAGGAACAAGGCTCTTAAAACCCCGTTAAGATCCCAACGAGGCTGCTAATAGTGTTTCATGAGGAAACCCTAAGCCCTAAACCCTGAGCCCTGAACCCTGAGCCCTGAGCCCTGAACCCTGAACCCTGACCCCTGAGCCCTGAACCCTGAACCCTGAACCCTGAACCCTGAATCCTGAATCCTGAACCCTGAACCCTGAACCCGAGCCAAAGTGACCAACAAATCTCCTGGTTGGCTTGGGCTGAGGAGCATGTGAAGGGAGCCTGTCATGTTTGGGTTATAGACTTGTAGAGTTCACGCTTTACGGTTTAGTATTGGGATATATACCTTGCATGGGTTGAGGTTGCTTGGGGAGGGGGGGGGGGGTGGTGGCAGACAAGCGGTCTCGCGTCTCCTGATTTCGCCTGCTTTGGCTGCAGCTTGACGCAGGGACCGTTTAGTTTATATAAGCCTTAAAGCAGCATGGGCGCGCCCCCGACGGATCCGGAGCTGTGGTCCCTCCCGGATGAGTTCGACATTGCCCAGAACTTCGGCGGTTTGTTGGGGTTGAAGGGATGTTAGGGTTTTGGGTTTTGGGTTTAGGGTTTAGGGTTTAGGGTTTAGGGCATGAACCCTTCAAGCTTCTGTTGGTCCATACCGGGGACTGCATCTATGTGCAGTTGATGCGTTGCAAGTACGGCTTAGGCGGTACTTACTGCTCAGCAGGGTCTTTGTCATGGCGGGGTAGCATTTTACATTTGTAAGGGTACTTTAACTCAATAAGAATGGAAATTTACATTCTTAATACTATCCCAACCACGAACTAGGAGTTACAGGTGTATGCCCGACTAGGGATGATAACTTAAGACTCCAAGGACCCTCCTACAAAGGGACGGTACCTCCTAGAGGGGCTCTTTGGTGTCTCTATTCCTGCAAGGGTAGTTTCCCAGTCACTTCGTATGTCCAAAGAGGACTGCTTGAATACCCCTTACATACCCTATACAACCCAAGGGCCCATACTTCAGAACCCTGCAAGTAGGTAAGCGACCATATTCAGGGACCGTGTACTTGGAGGTTCATGCTACTTACTAACCAATTATAACTGTACTTATATCCCTACTTATAATCCCCCTAAAGGGCCTTATCGGGGTTATCCCAATTATAAGTAGGGTATAAGCCCAGTTATAAGTGGTTATTAAGGCCCATGAACCTCCAAGTAACTTCCATTAGAATGCTTGCCACCAAGATCAGGCCCTTAGCTTGGGATGTTCCCCCTTATACTAGCAGTCCCTAATTAGGATTATAGTAGCCCCCCCTTTATAACCACTATTCAGGACTGTTAGTATAAGAGCGAACATCCCAACCCCAAGCCCTCAACTTAGAACCCTAAACCCTAAACCGTAAACCCTAAACCCTAAACCCTAAACCTATGGTATCGGGTTGCTGATGCCATCTGAATGGTTCATTTGGCCTAACAGGTTGGTTTCCAGGGCTTCCTTTCTTACCAGTACCTGAATGAAAGGGACCAAGCCCTAAACCCTAAACCCTAAACCCTAAACCCTAAACCCTAAACCCTTTTGAGGTTCAGGTGGCTTGAGGTTTGGGGCTGAAGGGGTCGGAGGGAAGTTTGCAGGTGGGGTACCTTCTTAGAAGAGGTGCAGAAGGGCTCAGGGTTTAGGGTTTAGGGTTTGTGGCTTAGGGTTTAGGGTTTAGGGGAACTGCCCAGCTGAAATTGCCCTCAGGAACAAGCCTTATACACGTTGGTTGTCTACGGTCATACCTGGTACTCTATTTGCTTGCAGTTTTGTCGCAAGTACCCCCTAATTAGCAGGTATAACCCGTAAAACTCTAGGTAAATAGGGTCTCAGGTATACCCTACCTGTCCAGTCTACTCTGTAGGGTTGCCCACTGTCGCTGAGCAAATTGCTGAACACCTTTTTTTTTTTTCCGGGGGGGGGGGGGGGGGGGGGTCGTTACACCTTTTTGTTTCGATCAGTGCAGCTTAGCAGAGCGTGATATTTCCTGAGCCCTGAACGCCAAACAAAAACCCAGAAAACCCCTGGACCGTCTCTCTAAACGCCCTAAACCCTAATCTCTCTGCCTGGGACGCTATGTACCTACAGCTTTCGGGGTTATACCTACTACATAGTGGGTACTTACTACGAAACTGTGGGCAAATATGTGTCAGGTAAGCCCGCCTGGGGCTTGAAGTAGCAACGAGCCTGTGATCGCTGGTGTTTGGCTTTCGCACTTTCTTCCGTGGAGTGTTCAGGATCTTGCCTGCTGCGGTTTAAGGCAGTTTAGGGTTGGGATGTTCCCCCCCTTATACTAACAGAACTTAATGGAGAGCATAGCACCCCCGATGTAATCCCTATTAAGGACTGTTATTAAAAGGGGGCGCCTCAAAGGTGTAGGGAGTTGTTTCTAGAATGTCCGACGTACCCATGCTTGGATAGGGGCTCGCCGATATATGGACCTTACCCCCTGTCCCATCTCACCCGGAACCGTGGACCGCACATGGACAGCTATAGAGAACCCTAAACCCTGAACCCTAAACCCTAAACCCTAACCCCTAATTAAACCCTAACCCTAAACCCTAAACTGGGAAACGGAGTCCCCCCCGCCCCCCCCACCCCACCGGCCCCTCCATGCCCCACCCACATTTCCAAAACATATTGTTGACCGCACCTCAGCGTTCAGTGAAGACTGTGGCCGTTTGCGTCAAGGGGCGAAAGTCAAACCCAAAACCTATACCCTAAACCTATACCCTAAGCATCCTAAACATCCCAAACCCTTAACCCTAAACCCTAAACATCCTAAAATAGAAGCCCACTCCAGGAAGTGTCGACCCTTGTCATCTGGCCCTCGCGACTCGGCTGCTGCGCACGAGCAGGAAGGTCTGGTGCAGCTGTCCCTCACCGCAGCTCGACTGGTTCGTAGGATCCTCCTTGGGGACGGAATGAACCCTAAAAGGGTTTATGGTTCATATGCCTCAATCTAAACCCCAAAACCCTCAACCCAAACCCTCAACCCTAAACCCTAAACCCTGAACCCTGAACCCTCGCACTGACTCCAGGCCAAGAGCCTGGAGCTGCGCAAGGTGTCCACAAAGGACTCCCAGTCCCGGAGTGTATCGGTGCGCACGCGCTCGCAGGACGACTCTGGGGTTTCGGGTTTAGGGTTTGGGGTTTGGGGCTTAGGGTTTGGGGTGAAGGGTTTTAGGGTTTTAGGGTGTGGGGTGTCGGGTATAGGGTCCCGGGGACCACATGAGCCCCAGAATTGGGGTCATACACCCTGTACTACCATAATTATATTGGGGGTGGGGGGGGGGGGGGCAGAGATAGGGCAGCCCCACCTAATTGTGATGTTGGCCTCGGCTTGGTGGTGAGGACTGCCAGAGCGCGTCTTGGTACTCTGTAAAGCTGTGCAGCGTCCTAGGTCCTAGGGCTGAGCTGAGGTTAGGGTTTAGGGTTTAGGGTTTAGGCTTATTTGTCCCTTTCTTCGCCGCCACATTAAAGGTACTATAGATGCGAAGACATGACATCGTGTCTTTCGTTCACCAAAAGCGCAAACGAAGTACGTGAGTGAGCTTGCAATCCTTGGGGACCAAATGAGCCTTAAAAGGGTTTATGGTTCATATACCTTGCTAGGAACTACATTAATAAACCCTAAAACCCTAAACCCTAAACCCTAAACCCTAAACCCTGAACCCTAATGAGCCTTAAAAGGGTTTATGGTTCATATACCTTGCCAGGAACTACATTAATATAAGGTACATGATCCGAAGTTTCGGGGTCATGTGGTCCCCAAGGATGAAATCTACATTTAGGGTTTAGGGTTTAGGGTTTAGGGTTTAGGGTTTAGGGTTTAGGGTTTAGGGTTTAGGGTTTAGGGTTTAGGGTTTAGGGTGCAAGCATGGGCGAATAACCGCATAAAAGGGCGGAGAAGGAGTTTGAATATTCGAGTCCTTTGTTCATGCAACTCTTGAGATTTTCATGTTCAAGGGATTCTTGTCGTTCGTGCACTCATTGCGTTCCTTTACTTCTCACACTATTAATGGAGCGAAGTGATCCCGCAAGCAAGACCTGTGAAGAAGAAAATTCGCGTCGTACTACCAAAAGCATGTCAAAGCCCAAAAAACACCTTGGTTTAAGGCTATTTTCAGATTGCGGGTTGGTTGGTTTAGGTGTTGTCAGCGTAAACCAAAACCACAAATCGCAGTAGGCCAGGGTTTAGGGTTGAGGGGTTCGGGTTTAGGCTTTAGGGTTTGGGGTTTAGGGCTTGGGGTATGGGCGTGGTAGTTTGGGGGTCTATAGGTCTCTGCGTGCGCAGGAGACCAGCCTCACGAACCGGTCTCAGCTTAAAATTGAGTTGGAGGCGAGGCAATGCTTAACAGGTTGCCGAACTCCCCTCCCGGAGCATATCTTCGGGGCAAAACCCTAAGCCCTAAACCCTAAGCCCTAAACTTTAAGCCCTAAACCCTAAACCCTAAACCCTAAACCCTAAACCCTAAACCCTAAACCCTAAACCCAAGCCAGGCTGAGCT